TTGATCAGTTCCAGCAGCAGCTGACTTGGGGACGCTTGGGGTTCTTAAGTTGATTCTGTATGTAAGTCAGAACTGGCGGTCAGTTTCAGCAGCGGCTGACGCCAGTTCCGACTTACATACAGATTCAACTTAAGAACAAACCTACAGTCCCTATCTTGTACGTAACCCGGGGACTGCCTGTACTGGATTTAGAGGGGTAGCCCTGTTAGTCTGTTTCAGCAAAAACATCGAGGAGTCCCGTGGAACCTTAAAGACTAATAAATGTATTTGCTCATACCCATATAAATTTGTGAAGTCTTTAATATACCACGGGACTCCTTGTTGTTATTACTGGATTTAGGTTTGTGGCAGCCCTGTGAGGTAAACTTTACCCTCATTTACAGCAACTGAGATTAAAAACAGCTTAAAAGTTTGATCCTGTAAGGTGCCAAACATTCTTGCCTCAGTCCTCAAGCAGTGGGACTGACAGCCACTGCAAGGTGAATGTTGGCAGGGCAGCTTTGTGCCCCTGGATGGGGCAGGGCCTGCGCTGCCCAGACCACGGCGCACACCTCAGTGCTCAATGCTACAGCGTCCAGTGGCAGTCCAGTGGCGATTCAAAGGGGGACTTTGAATTGCTGGGCCCCAGGGCAACTCCCCCTTTACATCCCCTCTCTGTGGGCAGGCCTGAGTCCAACAAAGGTGAGAAGCACATGCTTCAGTTGTTTTGCTGGACTAGGGCCACACTGCTGAGCATCATGGAGCAGTGAGCCATTGGTGACTTGCCCAACTCATACAGGAAGACTTTGGCAGAATTGAGGCTGGAACCCAGGTTTCTAATATTCAAGGACAGGACAAACCACACTACCTCAACCTTTACCCCAGCAGCGTGCTATTACTAAGAAGTGCTGAAGTTTGTAATGCTCATGTCCCACCATTGTAGTCTTGATACAATGGTGGGTCATAAGTGAGGCTGGGTCAGAAACTCCAGACATATAAAATAAGCAAGAGGAACATCATGGTAATTGGAGAGTGAAATCTTTTCTACTGGGAAAGGTGGGATGGAATTCCTGGTTTATAATATCAGGAAATGATCACCGTTATATAAGGGCTCAGACATCATTATAGAATCTAACCTGAAGTTTGACATTTTTGTTCTGCTCTGTTTTCCAGTAAATCCCTTAAACATTCTAGTCATCAATTTCCTAGGAAGACGACTGAGCCTGTCTGTAACAATGGGATGCACAGCGCTATTTTTCCTTCTCCTTAATATCTGCACTACAAGGTAGCGTATTAAAGTATGCTAGGTCTGTAGTGATGGGTTGTTGAACCACAGGCAGACGGCAGGATCCCTTAAGTTCTCAATTTGCTAATCAGCAGTGTTGTTAAATCTCTCAAAAATAATCTCCTGCAGTTTCCAATCACTTATCACCAAAAAAAGTAATAATAATACAAACCTTACTAGAGTGTCTGCTAAGAATATGTGGATTTCATAAAATACACTAAAAGACATTTACTAGTGTGCTATAAATAGTTGCAGCTAAATTTAAAACATGCATCAAAATAAATAAACAAAGTACATTTTGTGGTACAGTACCTATAATTTCTTGCACAGTTTGTTTACTGCCAAGTTAAAGTAGATCTACAGAGAACAGAAAAACCTACAGCTAGCCCATGCCAGCTGACTCGGGGCTTGGATTGTAGAGCTGTTTCATTGCGTGTAGGCTTCCAGGATTACACTGGAGTCCAGTCTCTAGGACTCTGTGAAGTGGGACGGTCTCAGAGCTCAAACTCCAGCCCAAGTTGTTTTTTCTTTGCTATGTTGACTTACCCTTAGAGTATGGGTGGGATGGGTAGATGTGTCTTCTAACTGGGATGAATTAGTAAGGTTTGCTTGTAAAAACACAAGAGGCTGAGCTTATGGAATTTATAGGCTCCCCCAGTGAAGCTGGCAAAGCTTGTCAGTTCACAGAAGTAGCCCCCACACTGAAAGTAGCACTCTGAAATGACCCTTCAGAGTAAAAGTTCCAATTGAACTGATCTTTCAGCTGTGAAGTACTGCTATGAGGCACAGTAGCCAATGGTCTATTTTACTGGTGTCTAAGAAACAGCATAGGAAAATTTTACGTTCACTTTAAAACTATTCCTCTCATAGGGGCTAGAATACCAGTTCTGGGGGTGCTGCAAAACCGACTGGCTTAAAGTGGTTTCCATTTTGAGTCAATAGCTCTCCACATCCCCGCATACAAATTGTTCCAGTGCCCCAACTAGTATGATTTTCTTCAAACTTGGTTTCTTGTATGGATGGCAGGGAAATTTAGCAATCAAGCCAAATTCAAAGTTTCTAGACATCTCTATTTAATAGTTACCTGAGTGCAAAATTCTGGGTAAAGAACTTTTCTAGTGTTCAGCGAAATCAAACACCTGAAACAGTTACGCTCAGTCTTCACCTTTGGGCTGAGTCTAAGCATAGAATTTGTGACAGTTTATAAGCAACTAAGAAAGAGGGATAAGACTGGAAGCTAGCAGATACAACCTGACTTGCTATAACGAATACACATATCATGACCCTCTCGGGGTCAGTCCATTTTCTAAGCAATTCCTCAAGAATAAAGTCCCTCAGTGTGAAGCAAACTTTCCTTGCCAATTTAGGGAACTGTTACATTTGTCTATTAAATCAGACTTGTCTTTTACTATATTCTTATTTGGTGAGCAGTGGGTAACCACTTGCTTTGTCTGTGTTAATAGCTGGTCAATGACACTAGTTCCATATTCTCTACCCTCTTTTCTCTCTAGTACGGGTCTAATTGGTTTTCTCTTCATGCTGCGTGCCTTGGTAGCAGCAAACTTCAACACCATCTACATTTACACAGCAGAGGTAGGTCCATCTTCTGAAAGTGGCTCATTAAACTTCTCTTGCCAGAAGCTGGGAATAAGTGACATGGAATGGATCACTTGATTACCCATTCTGTTAATGCCTTCTGAAGCATTTGGCATTGACTACTGTCAGAAAACAGGATACTAGGCAAATGTTCTCCTTGTCCATATACATTGAACATATTTTTAGTTCTGCAAATATTTTGTCTACAATATTTTGTCAAGGAGGTCCACAGATTAAATGTATGGGCCATAAAAATATTTTATACCAGATTTAAATATTTTGTCTTTGTTTCATGGGAGTGTCCCTTTGATTATTAGGTAAGAGGGTAACCAGGAATCTGCTTTACTTTCTCTGACAAGAAAGCTGGTGCTTTCTATAGAAAATGATTAATGGTATGAACTCCCAGAAACCACTAACTTGAGGGAGCATTTAGCAAGGCTCCAAAAGGGATAATGCCTGGAAAATTATAACCCTTAGTTCTAAAACAAACACATAGCTATTAGAAAATAAAATCCTCACCCCCCATTTATCCTTAAACATATCTTTAAGAGCTTTAGAGGGTAGCTGAGTTAGTCTGTTACAGAAAAAAAACAATAAATGGTCTGGTAGCACTTTATAGGCTAACAAAACATGTAGATGGTATCATGAGCTTTCGTGGGCACAGCCCACGTCTTCAGATGACCGGAGTTATGCGTAGGGGATATGAAAACTCGAAATAAATAGGAGACGGGAGCTTTGCTGAAACAGGGCCTAGGAGAGGCAAAAAGGAATATGCCATAGTGAGTCTTGGCAATTCTTTTTAGGTGACTGTGGGTCTAATACAGTACAAGTATTTTGAGTGAATTTAGGTCTTGCCTAAGGATTGAAAGCACTGAACACCATACTTTTCTCAGTCCACTAGAAGTGTCTATGCAAGTGTCTCCTATTCCACCCAATTTTTCTGCAAGCCTTACCTTAAGCAACCACTTTTAAGGCAAAGGGATTAATGTCCATTCCAGTTTTGATTGGACTAACCTAAACGGATCCTATATGGGAGCCCTTTGACAATCTCTTCCTACCGATGTCCTTTTTTGTGTGTGGGTAGCATGCTGTAGTTCCTGCTGGCATTGAACTAACTCCCCTTTGTCTTGCTGTAGGTTTACCCCACCACGATGCGAGCACTGGGGATGGGGACGAGTGGGTCACTGTGTCGGGTTGGAGCTATGGTGGCACCATTTATAGCACAAGTAAGAAGCTTTTCCTATTAGCATCCTGGTATGAGGCAGTGGTCATCAGTGACGGGGAATGAGGCTGGTAGTTCTTCAGCAATCTTGGAAGATAGTTTATACATAAACATCAATGTCCGGGCAAAAACAAAGCAAATGTCACTATGTACGTGTATGCATGATCACAAGTTTCCAGGAGATCCATGGGTGCCTCTGAGAGCAACATTGGGCATTTGGTTTTTGTTAAGCTCTATGCCCAATGTTGCTCTCAGAGGCACCCATGGATCTCCTGGAAACTTGTGATCATGCATACACGTACATAGTGACATTTGCTTTGTTTTTGCCTGGACATTGATATTTATGCATAAACTAGGGTTATATGATCATTGCCAAAAATAAACCCACAGCAGTGGTGGCTTGATTTTTTTTGAAAGATGAGACAAATCAAAAAATGGTTAGCTCTGTTCCACCTCTATAATTTTAAAGTTTCCTCTTTATAATGCAGTAGGAACAGCAGGAGCTGCTGCAGTTTCCCAAGCCACCACAGGGGTGGAATATGAAACTGGCCTAAGGAAAGAGAACCAGCTCTTGATAAACAAATACAACTCCAAGCTCCTAACCCTGCCTCTTGCAAACCTCAACTGCTGTAGTGGTTACCACAGCAACTCTCTGATAAAGTGACTCCTATACAGTAAATTGCCATGGTAACAAGGCAGTTTCTTGAGGCACTGTTAGCCATACTAATGGGCTGTGTGTACATATTAGCATCCCTTTTCCGGAAAAGGGATGCTAATGAGACAAGTCGGAATTGCAAATGCCACGAGGGATTTAAATATCCCCTGCGGCATTTGCATGAACATGGCTGCCACTTAAAATCAGGAATAAGGGATCTTCCGGAAAAGGCTTTATTTTCCGAAAGATCCCGTCTAGACTGGCGCTTTTCTCCGGCAAAGCCCCGAGCTGGAAAAAAGCGGCACCGCAGGGGATATTTAAATCCCTCGTGGCATTTGCAATTCCGACTTGTCTCATTAGCATCCCTTTTCCGGAAACGGGTGCCACTGTAGACACAGCCATGGTGCTGAGCCATATGCAGCTCTACCTTCCTCAAACTTTCCAGTGTTGTGTTATGTGATGGGAGAGTGGGTTGTGACATTTGTGTAATTTGTCAAATCTCTCTCTAGGTAGCTAGTTATGAGTTACATAAAAGTAACCTGGCACCTTTTGGGAATTCTTGGGTAGACTGTGCCTTGTATGTCTGGGCTGGTAGGTTGCTTCTGAACTGTATCAAACGCTCTGTACAAAATGTAACTGGTTAATACACAGTGCAAACGTTATGGAAGCTGTTAGCCAAGAAAAGAAGCTATCCGATTTATCACTGCATCCTTTACTCCCTTGTCCAGTTAACATCTTGATTTCTAACATACCTCCTAACCCCACACTCACATGATGCTTCGTTTGCTTGTTGGTAGGTTCTCATGAGTGCTTCATTCCTTGGGGCCCTCTGCCTTTTCTCAGGAGTGTGTGTGGTATGTGCCATCTCTGCCATCACTCTGCCCATAGAGACCAAAGGAAGGGCACTCCAGGTTTGTAATCTCTGATCCTTATTTCTAACACAGCTACAGCATTGTCCACATGAGAACACAATACTGATTTGATTAAATAGTTTAGAGGCTCCTGCAATCATTATTTTGTCCCAGATCCATAGAAAGCATTCAAACCAAAGTAAGTGACTCTGTACATATGGGTTAGGTTGGACTGGACTGATCTAACTAAACCACAGTCTCTATTACTGTATATGCTTTGCCATTATAGCTACAGTGGCATAGCTAGCCCAACAAAAGCACTATTGTCATCACTCATGCCAATAGAAGGGGTTTTTCTCTCTCCATAGTATCACCTTCCCAAAAAACCCAGTTTAAGACAAGGACTAAGGATTGTTTAAATAATCTCCCACTGTGGATGGAAGGTAGCCCTGTGCAGGTGGCCTGAATTCTATTTAAACCTTGAGATGGTTGGTATTGCAGTAATCAAACAAAAGTTTTCCAAAAAATGCTTTAACATGTAAGAGAAAAACTTTGATCCATCTATAGTTTCAATCTTATCTTATCTAATAGTGAACTAGATACATGTAAATTTAAATGACTATTTGTTGAGGCAGAGTCTCTTCCTTGAGACTGGGCTGCATGCTTGAGAGCTAATATCACAGTTGCAGTTTCAATAGATAATCTTTTGCAGACTAGCTCCTGACTCTGCTACCAATTATACTATTCACAAAGGATTAGTCCTGTAGCAGTTAATGGGATCAATCACAAATGCAGTTACTTATGCATAAAAGTAAACTAGGTTAAGGCCACAATTTATTTTCAACATTTTATGTGGAAATTTTTTTTAATGCGCCAATATTTGTATTCCTTCCCTACTAGTGTTAGGAGGCCATACAAAAATATAGATAGCACACAAATGCTGTTTATATTCTTTAACATAGTGACATTTAAGATGAGACAGTTTTCATGTGGCAGTTTAAATTGTTGCTCCTAAATCTGTTTTGTAGGAAACGTGTGGGTGCATTGTAGACCGTTATATTTCAAGAGTAATTTTAGAATCCAGATCAGCGTTGTATGAAAGAGGCAGATGCATAGGCTGACTGTATCTAGCTTTGCATCAGATTCTAATCTTAGAGCAAAACCATGGCTCCTGGATCCATAAGCCTCAGTTCTTAAATATGCTCAGTTTGAGTCTGATTTTTATCCTTTTTATATCTTCCCATTTTTTTAGCAAACAAAATGAAGAAACTCGAGGTTGGCTTGCCTGGGAGAGAAAAAGGAACATTTTGATTCTTTTCGCAGTTGAACTACCTTATGTTCATTGCTTCTTGATGTCATTTCATTTCTGGAAAGAGGCAGCATAATCAATCACCATTGAAGAGCATACAAACTACTTGCTTTCTGCAGCTGACCTCCATTTGCACAATTTTTTTTTGGGGGGGAGGGGGCACTGACTTAAGGGTGGGGAATGGGTTAGGGTTATTATACATCAGTTCCTACAAAAGTCAACAACTTTAGTGCAGAATGGATGTATACTAGGGCAACTTATTGGGGGGGGGGGCCCCCTTTAACTGGTTTGGGGATATTGTCAGTTTATAGCTGGATTAAGGCTGAGGGTGTTTTTCCTTCAGGAGTGGAATAGGGCTTTTGCCAAGGTACTGTGGCATACTTCAAGTACATAGTAATTAAGTATGATATGTTTGTGTGTGAGTCCTACCTTACTGTGCCCTCAAAATGAAGCTTTAACTGATTTACCACTATAATCCTGTAACTGGTTTGGGGATATTGTCAGTTTATAGCTGGATTAAGGCTGAGGGTGTTTTTCCTTCAGGAGTGGAATAGGGCTTTTGCCAAGGTACTGTGGCATACTTCAAGTACATAGTAATTAAGTATGATATGTTTGTGTGTGAGTCCTACCTTACTGTGCCCTCAAAATGAAGCTTTAACTGATTTACCACTATAATCTCAGGACCAGAGTTGGCTGGAACTTTTCTATTGGAAAGCTGCTGGTTTGTGTCTCTCCCCCACCCCTAGCAATCAGGGACACTGCTAAAGCTATAATTTCTACCACCAGTAATGGATATTTCTGTAAGACTGGAAATATGTACAGAAACCAATTAAAAGTGCAAATACAAAAATGGGCTCTACACAGGGGTCAGAACTGGATTGAGGGAGCAATTTTTCAGATCAGGCCAACAGCAGGAGTAGTATGTTCAGTAAGTCTAAAAATTATAGTATTTCTAAAAATTAAAATCATTTAAAAAAAACCTTGCATTTCATTACTGTGAAAACTAAAGCTTGCCTTTCCTGCCGCAGGCTGATAGAACAAGGCTAATGAACACATTCAGTATTTAGATTTTTTAAAAATTATGTATAGATGTATTTTTTTCCTATGTAAATATAGAGTTCATGCACCATGACCCCCCCTTTAGACAACAAAAAACCCTACATGATACCAGGAAGGGGGACTGAAGCCCAAGCCTTGGGTGGAGGGAAAGCTGAAGCCTGAAGGGCTTGAGCCCTGGCAGGGCACCTATAACCTGAGTCATGAAAGCCTCAGGCTTTGGTTCCGAGGCCACTGCAAGCCTAAGCCAGTCTTGACACCCACATTAAAATAGGACTGAAAGTGAACAATCCACTAAGATCAACATACTTCACTGACTACAGTGAAAGACTCTGCCTCACACTATCCAAGAAATTAAGAAACCACCTGATAAGTATTTTATACAAGAAACAGAAAACCATCAAGAATGACATTTCTAACTTAGATCGTCTCATCTCAAGACAAACATCCACACCGACTGACACCTTGCAAGACTTTTGTTCCACCAGACAAGAAATCTACTATACACACTTCTATTCCCTACAACAAAGAAAAGACAATAAATTTTCTAACCTGCTCCATACCACTGGCTACAACAGCAACTGCCTCAACCCACCGGATAATATTGTTAACCTCTCCAGCTACAAACTCAATCCAGCAGAAGAGTCTGTCTTGTCCCGGGGTCTCTCTTTCTGCCCCACGTCCCCCACAAACTGGATACAATTTTGTGGTGACCTTGAGGCTTTTTTTCGCCGCCTCCGTCTCCGAGAATATTTCCAAACCACCACTGAACATCAATCTGACCTACCAGATCCCCCCTACCAACACCAAAGGAAAAATAATTCTATATGGACTCCCCCTGACGGTCGGAATTACAATCTGGATTTCTATATACACAGCTTCCGCAACAACGCACAGACTGACATTATTCACAAACGACAACAAGCGACACACAATCTTAGCCGCGCTGAACACCATGCCATCCAGAGTCTCAAAAACAACCTGGACATTGTAATCAAACCAGCTGACAAAGGGGGTGCTGTGGTCATTATGAATAAGGCCGACTATAACCAGGAGGCAACCAGACAACTCTCGAACACCACATTTTACAAACCTCTCCCCTCTGATCCCACCTTGGACTACCAAAAGAAACTACACTGTCTCCTTAAAAGCCTCCCCACAGCTACTCGGGAACAAATCCTCACAGAATCACCTTCTGACCCCCGACCAGGATTGTTCTATCTACTTCCCAAGATCCATAAACCTGGGCACCCCGGACGTCCCATCATCTCTGGTATTGGCACGCTCACTACTGGTCTATCCAGCTATGTAGACACTCTTCTCAAACCCTTCGTAACCAATACCCCCAGCTATCTCCGAGACACTACTGACTTCCTAAGGAAATTACAAAACATCGATAACCTCCCCAATAATACCATCCTTGCCACCATGGATGTAGAAGCTCTATATACCAACATCCCACATGAAGACGGATTACAAGCAATTAGAAACACTATCCCAGAGGACACTACTGCCAACCTGATAGCAGACCTATGTAACTTTGTTCTCACCCACAATTATTTCCGGTTTGAGAACAACTTATACCTCCAGATCAGCGGCACAGCCATGGGTACACGCATGGCCCCACAGTATGCTAACATCTTTATGGCTGACCTAGAACAACGTTTCCTCAACTCCCGTCCCCTTTCACCCCTCCTCTACCTACGGTACATCGATGACATCTTTATGATCTGGACACATGGCCAAGAAACACTGGAGATATTCCACAGAGATTTCAACAACCTACACCCCACCATCAACCTCAGCCTGGACCATTCTACACGAGAGATCCACTTCCTGGACACCACCGTACAAATCAACAATGGAAAATTAGACACCACTCTCTACAGAAAACCCACTGACTCATACAGTTACCTACATGCATCCAGCTCCCATCCAGAACACACCACACGATCCATCGTCTATAGCCAAGCCCTTCGATACAACCGCATCTGCTCTAACCCCACTGACAGAGACCAGAAGCTTCAGGATCTCTACCAAGCATTTATAAATCTCAACTACCCACCCAGAGAAACAAAAAAGCAAATTGAAAGAGCCAGACGAATACCTAGAAACCATCTACTTCAAGACAGACCCAAGAAAACCAACAATAGAACACCACTTGTCATCACCTACAACCCCCAACTTAAACCTGTCCAACACATTATCAAGAAACTACAGCCTATATTGGAACAGGATACCATACTCAAAGAGGCTCTGGGAGACAGACCCATAGTCTCCTATAGACAACCACCTAACCTCAAGATGATTCTTACCAACCACCACAGGACATACCACACTAATACCAACCCTGGTACCTTCCCTTGCAACAAACCCCGTTGCCAGCTTTGTCCACATATTCATTCTGCTGATACCATTATTGGACCTAACCAAGTGAGTTATAAGATCAAGAACACATATTCCTGCGCATCCAGAAATATAATCTACGCTATCATGTGCCGAAAGTGTCCGTCTGCTATGTACATTGGACAAACATCTCAGACACTTCGCCAAAGGATTAATGCCCACAAAACAGATATTAGACAAGATCACAAAGAGAAAACAGTTTCTTGCCACTTTAACCAGAAAGGACACTCTCTAAATGACTTAGCCACCTGCATTCTGCTACAAAGACCTTTTACATCTGCACTTGAAAGGGAATCCTCTGAACTGTCATTCATGTTAAAATTCGACACTTACCAACAAGGACTTAACAAGTCTTTGAACTTTCTCACCCATTATCAAGACAGTTTCCCCAATTATCACCTGTAATACCATTAACTCACAAACATCCCACTCTCCCTACCTTTAATATCAGCAATTCACAGACACTTACCTTCCTTCCTCCCCCTTCCCACCCCCCCGCATCCTCCTTCTGTTCTGCAATGTGATTTGTCCTTTTCATATTTGTTCATTTTTTTAAATTGTATCCTTTGGTATATATGGTTGTGACTACTTTCTTCCACTATTTGATCTGAGGAAGTGGGTCTGGCCCACGAAAGCTCATCATCTAATAAACCATCTTGTTAGTCTTTAAAGTGCTACATTGTCCTGCATTTTGCTTCAACTACCCCAGACTAACACGGCTACATTTCTATCACATTAAAATAGGGTCTTGATAAACAGTTTGAGGTCTACTGGGATAGGATATGGTTTAGTTAAAAGGAACCACTAGTCTCAATTAAGGATGTTAAAATGCAGTTAATTGACTAGTTGATGGAATTTCCAATGACTAGTGAATAGGCACTTCTGCATTCCTCCTTTGAATGGGGCTCCTGAACATTTCAAAGGAGAAATGCGGAACTACATGTACAGCCTGGGGCCAGCGAGAAGTTCCACTGACTCTTGGCTGCACACAAGTGTCTGCTTTGAAATGCATAAGAATTTTTAGCGGAGTTCAAAGCCATGGAGCCCAGGGTTAGCAGGGGACTAATAGGTGCTAGGCACCCAGGATCAGCTGGGGAGTCCCAGGTTCCCCTGCCCCTTTAAAATGAGTGAAGGCAGCAGTTACAAAGGGGAAGCTGCTGCACACCTGATCAGCTGTGAGGCTGCTTTCCCTTTGAAACTGCTGCCTCCAAAGGGCAGCCATGGAGCCTGGGATCAGCTGGGGACTCCCCAGCCTCTGCTACAGCACTTCCCCAGATCCCGGGGATCAGCTGGGGAGTCCTCAGCTGACCCCAGTCTCCCCAGCTGCCCCTTTCAAAGGTGCACAGGCAGCATTTTAAAGATGAGCTGTGCAGAAGCTGCCCCTTTGAAAAGCTGACTGAAGGTTTCAAAGTGTGAGCTCCTTCTCCTTGCCCCCTCCCCCGTTGCTATCTCTATCTCAGAGGCGGCAGGGGGTTGAATAGTCAAAATACTATCTGATAAGCATTTGCTTTTACATCCTCAATCAACCCACACCAGTGGAATCTCAGGTAAACAACTGTCTGGCATCCCAGCAGCTAACCATGATAAATCACATATGGCCAGCCCACTGCTGCAAGTTTCTCACTCAAACTAGATGAACACAATGGTCCCTTTGGATCTTGAAAATTATTATTTACTTCCCCTGTCCATTCTGTGCCTTCCCTGAATTTTCAAGCTGGCTATACCTCTGTCCATTACAGCACAAAGAAAATATCAAGGCCTTGGAGCGTTGTGTTGACTAATATGTAATCATTAAACTAGCGTAACTGCCTGTAAAGTTAAGCATTGCTAATTCACTAACTCAGCACCAACCAGCCTCACAGCACTTCTCTCCAGACAATCAAAATATAACAAAATGGGCAACTTAATTAAAAACCTGAAATACATTTTGACAGTCTCTCTGCAGGTAGTTCCTCGATTTTTTTTTTAAAGTACATTACAGAATATTTACTTTTAACTACCCTCAT